AATAAAAATAAGTAAAACCAATAATTTTAAGGCAAAATTCAATAATACTTTAAGAAAATGGGTTTCTTCAAAATAAACAATGGGAAAGATATAATGTAGGAAATGGTCAGGAAACAAGACTACAGCTATTGACTACATGCTTCCTGAAATTTTAAGAACTTATTAGCCAAGTCATTTATAATTCTAATGTTAAATTCTAGAGTGACAGTAAGTCTCATAACGTTATAATCTCAAAAAGAATTTTCCTACCGTGGGAAAAGATCACAATGAGAATATTTCATATTTAATTATAGGTAAGAAACTGTTGAAACAACAGATTACTTCAAGTTCTTCTTTCTTCATAACTTTCAACAAATATGGCATTCGTTTTAAACAACTAGTGTAAACAATATACGGTTTATTAACATAGATGTATACTAGAACACTTAAATTATGAACTATATTACAGGTATCACATTAAATAATTTCTGAAACATTATTCATGACAATATAACATAGAAAATATTCTGATAAAAAGAGACTAAAATAATTTTCCCACATTATATTCTTGGTAAATATATGAAAAAGGTTATGAAATCCTCAGAAATCTAATTTCAACTCTATCCCAACTCTCTTTAAGCTGCAGTACCACAGTTATTTAGTAATATGATGAGACTATGTAGACAAGGCAAACATTATACATTTTCCTGCAATTCAACTGAATTCCTTGTAGGATACACCTCCTGACTTTAAAGTATTAGGCTTGATATATGTATTCTGCTATATTGAGTGAGGACATGCACACACACACAAGCACATAAATCCATACATGTATAAGAATTATTAGATATGTGCTACCCATTGAAACTATTCAATATGAATCAATTCCCAAGTGAACAATCTCCCATATGTCCAAATTTCCTTTTGAAGTGTCTTAAGTTTGAACAGAGAAGAGAGCTCATAAGTACAAGCTGAGGTAGAGATAAAAGCAAAAATAAGGATGAAAATGTAATAGACATTTCCATCTTCAAATAAGCATCCTCTCTAAATAATTTCAAAGTGTATAGACACATTATAAATCTCATAAGACAAGAATAACAAACCCTTATTATCATTAATCACATTGTGAAAATGAGAAGCTGTAAATATGCATAAGGTTGTACATTCCAATATTATACAATGCATGATCTTCCAGAGAAAGAAAGTAAAATGAAACATTTAGCAAAGAATAAAGAAGTAAGTGTAAGATATGAGTATTAACAATAGCAAAAAGTATACCCATCTATTATTATCTATTTAATAATAGAATTTTATTGTAAATCTTTGTGAATATTTAGCAGACAATCATGAATTTAAATTTAAAACCCTGTTTTAAATGCCAACCGAATGGAAACAACCTACCAAGATTAAAAGATAGAATTAATTGCTACTCAAAATCAGTGTTAATTTGGCTACAGATACGTAGTAATATTAAAGACAATCTCCAAAAAAAGATGGTTACTTGAAGAAATAATTAACAATATTGCATTTGAAAAAAAATGTGCACAAAATTTCAGTTCCTAAAAGTAAATGTCATGATAAATCTGTTTCTATTGACATTTGAAATTAAATAATCACCATAGAAGAGCTGAATGGCGAAAGCACCCATCTGTTGCTCGGCTTTCAGAGTTTAAACAAAGATGTGTGAAATAGCATCACCAGCTCCACAGATAATATAATGACCTTATTATTTCATTTTAAACTTTAAAAATGAGCTGAAGCACCTCCTAAATTCTGTAAACGTAAGATATCAATGATCTGGTCATATCCAATCCCACAGAAAAGAATAAATGGCAGCCAGAAATCCCAGGAATAATCATCAAAGATGAAAGGAATCAAGAAAGTCTGTTGAACACATCTTCCTGCTTTTTAACATACAAAACAATTATTTCCTTTCCCATTCTAAAAATCCTGGAGTGATAGCACAGCAGGTAGAGCAATAGCACAGAGGGCTGGAGCACAGTGGGTAGGGCATTTTCCTTGCATGCCGCTGACCTGGGTTCAATTCCTCCAACCCTCTCAGAGAGCCCCGCAAGCTACCAAGAGTATCCTATCTGCACGCCAGAGCATATTTTTGTGCCAAAAACAGTAACAATAAGTCTCACAATGGAGACGTTACTGATGCCCACTCGAGCAAATCAGTGAACAAGGGAAGGACAGTGCTACAGTGCTTCTAAAAATCCAGAGTGTGCTACTTTAACATTAATTTAGACTTTAAGTTAGGAACCCGTTGTATAACATTTATTGACCTTCTAGTATAAACCATGTCTAATACACAGTCCTAAGGAAGCAGAAATGAAAACATAATGACTTCTACCGTATAGGAGTTGGCTGTCCCATAGGGAAATAATAAACAGATGGGAGAAACAATGTAAAATTAGTTAGAAACATGTTTTAATAATTATAATTAATAATATTGTTAAGTGGAGCTGGAGCGACAGAACAGCAGTAGGGTGTTTGCCTTGCACACAGCCAACCTGGCCAACCCGAGTTTGATTCCTCTGCCCGTCTCGGAGAGCCCAGCAAGCTACTGACAGTATCTTGCCCTCACGGCAAAGCCTGGCAAGCTACCCATGACGTATTTGATATGCCAAACACAGTAACATCAAGTTTCACAAAGGAGACATTACTGAGCCCGCTTGAGCAAATCGATGAATAACGGGAGGATAGTGCTACAGTGCTAATATTGGTAAGTAATATAAACTGTGATTATAAATAAAGGATTTACTACATTCTTATATTCTAAGCCCTATTATAAGTGATTTACAAGTGTTATCTCATAGAATCCCCTATAAAATATTTGGGGGGGTCACACCTGGCGATGCACAGGGGTTACTCCTGGCTCTGCACTCAGGAATTACCCCTGGCGGTGCTCAGGGGATAATATGGGATGCTGGGAACCTAACCACTATATGGGATGCTAGGAACCGAACCCAGGCCGGCTGCGTGCAAGGCAAATGTTCTACCTGCTCTGCTATTGTTCCAGCCCTGCTATAAACTATTTTCGTCAAGAAAATACCCACTTTACCAATGAGTACTTAGAGGCTGGGGGTGGGAGGAGAGTTCAGACTATGCAGAAAATGAAAAAACATCAATCGCATTGTATCTTACCAGGCAGAGATACTTACAATAATTCTCAAGTTTCTAGAGCAGGATTCTTAACTACAGTGTAACTCAGAAAAGATTTTCTGACAAGATAAAACAGAAAATAGGATCAGAGAGTAAGAATGTGGAGTAATGAAGTCATCCCAGAAAAACCTCGCGCTTCATTGTGCTATACATGAACGGTCAAGTAGTTGGTGCATTGAGTGAACCTGGAGGCATCAGTAGGTGGATCAAGCATACTTTAGATGCTTAATCTCTACATGTAGGTTACTAAAGTAAAAGTAAAGTAAAGGCCCTCCCATTGATCATCGATTTGCTCGAGCGGGCCCAGTAACGTCTCCATTGGAGACTTTGTTGTTACTGTGTTTGGCATATTGAATACATCACGGGGAGCTTGCCAGGCTCTGCCGTGCGGGCGAGATACTCTCGGTAGGTTACTAAGCATCTTAACTATTTCTAAAAGGGGAGTAAATAATATATTTGCGTTGAAATAAATATATACACATACATATGTATACACACACACACACACTCAGGCTAGAGTGACAGTACAGTGGGAAGAGTATTTGCCTTGTATGCAGCCGACTTGGGGTTTGTTCCCCGGCACTTCATATGGTCCCCTAAGGCCTTGGAGTGATACCTGAAGAGAGAGCCAGAAGCAAGCCCTAAGCACTGCTGGACGTGGCCTAAAAACAAAATAAATAAGTAAAAGATATATTTTTAGTACTGTATGTTAGAATATGGAGAACAATGAAAAATTGGTAAGATTGCTGAATTTGGCAATGATAGTAAACAGCATCTGAAAGTATTTGAAAGATATGTTTCTAGTTTAACACATAAAATATTCTAACAATATATTAAATCATTACACTTTTTTACTCTAATAACTCAATCCTTAATTAATAAAACTTATTAATCTAAATATCATGTATTTCTCTTCATCCCCATTATATATACATGTGAATATACACATATATATAGACACACAATGTCAATGTAACATAAATTCAACAGTAAGAGTAAGTGATTCATTTTTTTCTTTCTTTTTTTTTTTTGGCTTTTTGAGTCACACGCAGTGATGCATAGGGGTTACTCCTGGCTTTGCACTCAGGAATTACTCCTGGCGGTGCTCAAGGGATCATAGGGGACCATATGGGATGCTGGGAATCAAACCCAGTTGGGCCGTGTGCAAGGCAAACGCCCTACACACTGTTCTATCACCCCAGCCCCAACAGTGATTCAAATAAGAAAAATGCTTTTGTTCCTCAGCATATTTCAAGACCAAAGAGAAGAAGAAATTCTACATGCCCAATGCTCCAATCTTTTCTATCAATGCTAGACCCTATCTCTTATACAAGAACCAAAGCTAACAAATTTCTCTGCACAGTGATACTGGCTGAATTACTAATAACATGAAAGAAAGTTAGAAAATTAAAGTACTATATAGATACCAATGACTACATAAAATTCTGCACATTAAACATTTATGTTTACCATCTCCATTTGATCATTCAAGTTGTATTTTAAAAGATTAGAGGAAAAAATGAAAAAAATCATGTCTTTAATCAGGATTTGAGCACCATAATAGAGACCTCAAAATTAAAAACACAAAATGCTGTAGCAAGTCTCTTTAATGTAGAAATTCTAAACCTGCTTAGGCATTAATAGTGTCTCAAGACTCTATTAAAGTTAAACTAAAACTTGAAAAGGAAAGCACACATTTCTATGGTTTTTATTTTTCATTTATGACAGCTAAGTTCCCATTAGCAAAATAGAAATGCATTACTCACAAGTACCTTCTTTCAAAATAGTTTTGCTTTAAAAACCATCAGCGTTACCTAGAGTAAGTAAGTCATTTTTCCCTGTTTGTTATGTTTTTAAATTTGGAAAACTTCACAAGTATGCACATCATTCTGCACAGGGACCATGCAAATCATCTTTGTATTGTTCCAATTTTAGTGTAAATGCTGACAAAATGAATACTAAGCATCGTCTTTATTCTGTTCTTTGTTTATATGACAAAATAAGAATTATTTGGAAGTTACTGATTTTTATAAATAAAATTCATTTAAATTTAAGCAGATCTTTTATTCAAAAATCATTTTCTATAAAAAGTTACTACTACAATTATTTAATTATAGATTAAATTATTTTCTGATTGCAATATCCTGGGGGTTTTTCATTGTAGTTGAGACAATATGGAATAAGTAGATATTCTAATGTCTTTCCTTAATGTTTTCTTACTCAGAGATAGCCACTCTTTAAAATACACCTATTCTTTGGACAAGTCACATGATGATTGATCTAGTTACCATGTTATAGATGTTCTACATGCTAAGACTTGAGAACAATTAAGTTCAAGAGCTATGGTATACTCATTAGAGCGAAGAAAATCCAGTTGAAGGATCAAGTAACCTAATGATAATTTCCTATTAATTATAGCACATTTGAATAATAGAAATCACACCTAACTGAACCATGATGGTTTACAATTGCCATGGTAACTCCTGGAAGTTACCAAGTCTGGCCAGAAAGTGGCTTGCACCTTGACCCAGGAAACCATCCCAGAATCCTACTTCTTCTTTGAGACATCATGAATAATTCACTGCTAATTTTCCTATTCTATCATCTATATAAATAGAAATTTGTGTATAAAGGGCACTTATATGTGCCTTGCCTGCACTCTCACTCTTGAAGTGTGTACTCTCACTTTCATGAACTGTCTCACTTAGCAACCAGCCTCCTCAATCTTCCAGTGTGCCTGTGTTCTAACACTTGCATGTACACTATTCTTTCATAGTTATTATCTATTCTTTGTTTCTCTAATTCATAGTTGAATTCTTTCCCATGCAGGTCAAAATAACCCGTTGCCCAATTTGAGGCCTAATAACTGTGGTCCTGACTGGACACCTCCTGCATCAAATGACCTGAAACCTTAAGAATTTATTTATACTTATTTATGCATCAAATGGCCTTGAATGTTAGGGTCATATGTACCACTGCTGATAAACACCCACCACATAAAATTTGCAGATAAGACCATACATTACATGACATTAGTGTGGACTATGGGAAAACCCACAGAACTCAAAAAGCATTAAATATGACATCAGAGCAAACTTGAATCAAAAACAGAACAAGAAAATCCCCAGTAAATGTAGCAACTTAGTCAGGAGGAAAAATCTGGGTATTTCCAGGAATAGGAAGGCAGGCACGAAAAATATTAAATACTGGAAAAACACACAAAGAAAAAGGGTACACAGAGCAACTGAAAAGCTCAGCAGATAAGAGGCAAGAAAAGAGTTGGAATCACTAGCAAGAGCACTGTTTACTTGGTGACAAATAATTCAGCACTTGGGGAAAAACATTCTGAGGTCTTGCACTTTCTGAGTATACTAGTTTTCACAGGTAACTGTCGATCAAATATAATGTTTTACCCATATCTGCGTCTGAAAAGTAAAAAATACTAATCTCAAAACTAATCTAGTATGACTCTAAATTGAGTAATTTGAAAAAACCATAAAGCCAACAAAATAAAATAAAAAACTCACTAAAAGATCGAATAATATCCTGAAAATTACTCAAAGTTTGCAAAACTTTGAGTTTTGCAAACTATCATGGAACTTTTGTATTTTCTACTTAAAAATCTAATAAATTGTGGCAAGGGAAAAATTCATGTTTACCTTTTCTTCACTAAATTTCATAAACTGTTTTAGATGTTTAACACATGTAATCTCACTAAATTGTTTTTACACTGTAGCTATGAGGAGACTAAGTCTCTCACCCCCTAAAAACTAGAAAATATTTTGCAATAATTTTAGTGCCAGCAGATCCTGAAGTCATAATTTATAGTAAACAATTTTATTTAGTGATAGACAACTTAAACCTATTATCCTTTTTTATTAATTTTTTTATTAGTGAAACACCATGAGGTACAGTTGTAGATTTACAATTTTTTGTGCTTGGGTTTGATTATACAATGATCAGATACCCATCCCTCCACCAGTGCCCATTTTCTACCACCATGGATAATATCTCCCCCACCCCCATCCCCCCAACCCCCCCAGCCTCTGTGGCAGGGCAATCCCCTGTGTTCTCTCTCTCCTTTTGGGTATTGTGGTCTGCAAAAGAGGCATTGAGTGGCAAACATGTTCAGTCCATAGTCTACTTTCGACATGCATCTCCCCTCCTGGGAGGATCCTCCAAACACCCTTTATTTGGTGTTCCCTTCTCTATCTGAGCTGCCCTTTCCTCTAGAATGCCCGACTGGCCACTAAGCTATGGAGTAATCCTCCTGGTGCTGATCTCAGCTATTCTTGGGTATTAATCTCATATTTTGTTACTTTATATCCCCCAGATGAATGCAATCTTTCTATGTCTATCCCTCTCTTTCTGACTCATTTCGCTTAGCATGATACTTTCCATGTTGTACCACTTGTATGTAAATTTCATGACTTCATCTTTTCTAACAGCTACATAGTACTCCATTGTGTAGATGTACCAAAGTTTCTTTAACCAGTCATCTGTTCTTGGGCATTCAGGTTTCATCCAGTTTCTGGCTATTGTAAAGAGTGCTGCAATGAACAAACAAGTGCAGATGTCACTTCGACTATTATCCTTTTTATTGGCAATTTTCTCTTGATGTACTTAAATGTAACATTCAAGACATAGTTTAGCCAAGATGATACAAAACTTAGTAAAAAGATTGTCAATGACCAGTTACTTCAACATAACTTAATTCATTATGTATATATTCCCACTCAGCTCCTGGGAGAGAACAAGACAGAGTCTCCTACCCTATGCCTGACTGTCTCCACCAGGGCCCAACAGCTGAAGACCACCGAGGCCCAGCCAAGGCCTTGCTGAGAGCACTCTCCACACACTTGGATGAGCCTCACGCATAAAAGAACTGACAGAGGAACCCAGGTGTGTGGGACCCGGGGCTGAGATCTCCAAGCCTGTACAGTTTGGGACTGGACCTGCCAGTAACTAGACAGTTACACCCACCAACTGCCGTGTAACTCCAACAACGGCCAGGATCCAGAGATCATCACACTCAGCTCCTGGAAGCGCGCGGCTGCGAATGCTTATCATCTTATCATCTTATCATCTCATTCCTAATTCGGTCAAACTGGCAGGCTACCAAATGTAACATGCCCACACGGCAGAGTCTGGCAAACTCCCCGTGGTATACCCAATATGCCAAATACCAGTAACAATGATGGGTCTCATTCTCCTAATCCTGAAAAAGCCTTGAATATGGCACTTTAAAAAAAAAAAATCTCAGGGCTAGGACGAAGAAGACGTTACTGGCACCTGCTCAAGGCAATCGACGAACAACAGGGTGGTCGTGATCGTGATATATTCCTAACTACATTTGACTGTCAAGAAATGGTAGTCTAAACCATGGAAAAAGGCATAGGGCGTTTGTTAAAAATCTACAGTTTGCAAGGTTTTTTAACACAAAAGATACATAAATGTAGCTAAACTTCACCCCTCAGTGAACAGATTCAGATCATATCTGTTGTTGGTGAAGTTCAGAAGGCATCTATAAGTTCATTGAGTTGGTTATACAGATTCTTCCCCCACTACATATGTTTGTCATAATAAAAATAGCTCCTTAAGTTTCCTAAACACCTCAGAGAATGTACTTCACTAGAAATGTTAAAAAAAAGTAAAAAAAAAAAAAAGTAAAAAAAAAAAATCCAGGATTCATTGATCGTATTTCTCAACTGTCAAAATCATTAGATAGATAAACAGATAGATATAGAGATATGTGTTGGTTATTTTATTACTCTGCAGTCTTATTTATTCAATTGTAAAATATGTACAAGGGTACCTCACAATTATGATGAGGAATAATTTCTTACATTTTTACCAGATGTTGCTTTTATCTTTAATCAAATTCTTCATAAACTTTTCCAAATGTAAGAGGGTAGGAAAAGTTATGAAGGCCACATAATTAGAAATTCCCCTGATATAGGCCACATAAAATATAAAAGTAACTCTAGGTCCATTAAATAGCTCATCTCCACTTCCCAAGTTTCTGGTATTGATATAAGAGGATTGTGTTATTCCTGTTGTCTATATGTAAAGTTTCTTCCGTCAAAGTACAGAGGGAAATCTCAAAACATTCCCTTAGAATTAATACTCAGGAGAGCCCTTTCTTAGGTAGCTAAAAAGCCTTGTTTTACTCCATTGAAATTGGGAGAAAATTCAAGGTTCACCGATTGCAGTGACTTTAGTTTCAAAGGATATGTCAATGTTAATCTGAGGTGGTGCTCTCTCTTGTCTTTTTTTTAACTAGGAAAAAAATTCCCTGATGGATCTCTTTTAGTATGAATAAAATTTCTTTATTCATACTGTCACTACTGATGTAGCACAATAGCCAAATGCAGGATTTGAAATGAGACAGTTTACTAAATAAAAAAAAAATCCAAAAAATGTTGTGAGTAATGAAAAAAAAGCAACATGTTAAGTTTTGGGGATTATATAGAAAGGAAGTAGTGGGAAAGCAAAACTAGACTCAACAATACAGTGGCAAAGAGGGGCACCCAATAGGATGAAGCAAATGAAAAAAAGCATTGTGTTTATCATGGCAGACAGAAGATTTCTAAAAAGAGTGATAAGTGTTTTGACTTTTATTCCTTCCCCCCCCCCCCGTTCCCCTTTGCAAACTCTTTACTGGAGATGGTGTATAGAAAAGTGAAGAAAGAGGACCGAGATGAAGTCAGCCATGGAGAGAGACAGGTGTCAGAGCACCAGCTTAGAGGAGAGAACAACGAACAAAAATGGAAGGTTTAGGGGGTGTGGGGGGCGACTAAAACCTCACGAGAAGGGGGGCGTTCCGGTCCATCCTTCACGCCCTACCGAGGTCAACAGTCGCCCCCCACGAGCGGCTCCCCAGCACGGCCACAGTCCCAGAAGCACAAGGACTTAATGCAGAACCCGGCAGCTTGGAGCAGAAAAGTGAAAGGACTA